CGTTTCAGTTGGTCCTGTGATCTCGCTCTCTCTCTCTCTCTCTCTCTCTCACACACACACACGTCTGTATTCATATCCTTGTGGGGACCATCCATTCATTTCTATAGGCAAAACCCTAATCCTAACAATGACCAGCTTAACCCCTACTCAGCCGAAACCTCAAAATATAAGACTTTTCTCAGTTTTGTTTGCCGATTTTATAGAATTGAATTTCCCTATGAGGGGACCCAAAAATGGTCCCCACAAAATCAAAACAACAGGTTTTTATCAGATTGTGGCGATATTTGATCCGCATAATGTAATATATACATACTGTAAGTCACACACATAAAGACAGACAGACAGACAGACAGACAGAGACACACAGAGACACACAGAGACACACACACACACACACACACACACACACACACAGAGTCTAGGGCCATGTCGATAGAGACTGATGGGCACCATGACTGCAAAGGGCCTCTGACAGAAGGAGTTCTGTTCTTACAGCTGGGGAACATTAGCAGCCCTTGGCTAGACTCTGTGACACAGATACAGAGAGACACACAGACTGACGGGGAGCAGTGTGGCGCCCACTTCATCAGGCGATCCTTAGCCACCAGGAACATGTAGAATTAGCTTCTGGGGGGTTGTGAGGGGGGGGCTGGGCAGTTCGGTTAATGGGTCTCGTCAATGAGGGACGGCCAGACACAGGGTAAGATGTCGTTAACCCCCCCCTTCAGGGCTGGACATTCACTCGACCACCCCTCCATGCAGGGGGCCGATTGTGGGGCCGGACGGAGCTGGGAAAGGATTTATTTTTCATGGATCTGTTTCCTGGACCTGTTGAATATGCAAGGAACTGTGGGAAATCTGCATTGCTAGCATAAAAAAAAAAGCGTAATTCAGTTATCGACGGCAATCATATATAACATGGTAAGCGGTAGATGGACTCCATAACTCATCCTTATAAATTCTGTAATCGTTTTTTGTAAGAGAGAGAGAATTCTGCACAGGAACTTCCAATTGTACACAGAAAATTATTGCAGGTTCCTCCTAGGGGAATAAAAGCTGACGCGGGTCTGTGATGCGAGGCCTCATTGGTGGGATAAAAGCCACCTACCGCAGGTCCCGATCACATTATAATCTCGCACACAGATCTCATTACACCCAGCTCGCCACGTCCAAACTGCATTAAGATTTTAAAAGAAATCATCCCCAGATCCGATGCTGGGTCATGTTTTCATCTCACAGCATAAAGACGGCACAGATTTCTTCCCCAAGCAATACAAACGCGGCTCTGATACGGGGAGATTTATGCGAGGCGGTGTGGGTTTGAGGCGGGGACGTGACACAGCGCCATGTCCGACGGCAAATCCCTTCGACTCGCATCGCCTCCGACTGGCATTTCGGAAAGATAGACGACGCTCTCCGCAAACAGCTACTTAAGTATGAAGCAAGGGAGCGACAGTAACAATCAGGAGGAAACCGAGATGGCGGCCGATACGAGGGGATCCAAACTGTATCACTATCAGGCAGAAAATTTAACAGCCAAGGTGGAGGTTTGTGGGGGAAATCTGCATTTATATGGCTTTGTGAGGAACCTAAAATCCAAGGGTGTTTTGATTTTAATCATATGAAA